TAAATTATATTGAAAATCAAAGACAAAAAGTTTGCATGCGGATACCTAGGACGAAATAAATGGTCGATAGTACGACGCACCGACCGTTACAAATTGACTCCTTTGAAATCGGTTTTAATTTTTTTAATAATAATTTTGTCGAAGATGTGTTCAATATTGTAAATTATATTCACGTTTTTACTACTATTGAAATAAACATAAAAATGCTAATGAACAATAAATTATTAATAATTATGATACGAAATGTCTACGAAACCGTCGAAAAATTTTTTGCACTGTAGATATTTCTGTTAACGCAAGGAAAATGTACCTAAAGCCTTAACTCAGGCGATTTTATAATTTTAAATCGGAAGATATCACAAACTTTACGCTACAACTAATTGCCATTATGATAGGGAATACAATTTTTGAAAGGTATTTAATGAACGATATTTTTAATTTGTGAAATGGATTGTCTGAGGCAAGCGTTAGACGCGAATATTAGTTTAAGTTACCAAGTTTTTATTAAATTTCTTGATTATTCAAATAGTCATTCGAAAGCGTTTGCCACTTTAAATGGTACAAAATTCCGTAAATCATTATAACAACATCTATACCTTTTAAAAAGTATTGCGATAGACTTTGATATTAGATACAATCAGGCCAGTGGGCAGTAAATTCTTAGAAATTATGGTGAACGGTGTAGGGAAAATACGGTATAAACAACAGTGCATTGTGATAGTTGCTATTTTCAATAAAACACCTTAGTACGCATAAAATTTAATGCGCCCAATTAAATTGATAGCATTAATAAATTTTACCGTGCATAGATATTTCATTCTATAATAGATATCCCTAAAGCTAGAGACTCGAGCGTAAAGGAAATTCCCCTACCAAAACATCTCAATTTATTCATTTCTAAGAATACGTTTTCGGATATCAGAATTTCTGTCCTAAAAGCGAGATCAAAATGTCTAAAATTTTGAAAGGAATTTCAATATACAGATTACGGTAGATTTTGTCGACGTTGTGATGCTAAAGTGGTAGATGGTAAAATTATGTTGATAACGAAACGATGCATTTACCATAATAATGGTACATGGCAACACTGCTACAAGTCTAGGTAGTAAAAAAAATACACGTTTTATACATTGGCAATACCTCAAGTAGCTAAAACTCTTGTAATAGGAACCACAATATACGCAAAATAATATAAAAGCCGAGAATCGAACTCGCATATTCTAAAACTGGCAGTCACTCAACCGCTCCGGTCGTAATTAATCATATTGTCATTATCCAGAGCGTATTACACGCATTGTGACTTAACCCAGGGCATGTCGGTCAAGGCCTCGGTCGCATAACTGACCAGACTACTTTTAATTTCTTCAAAAAGAATCACCATTTTATTTAGATCCATACCTTACTTACCCCATCAAGTAAATTAAGAAACAAATTGAGAAAACCAGAGGTCTTTGTTAACTAGAAGAAAACCTGTTCCACTAAAAACGCTTCCATTACACATTATTTATAATTTATTTATTACAAGTGTAATGTTGCTTAGTAAGTTTTGTAAGTATCGTTTTAGAATTGATATATTTGTCTTAAACGTTATGTAATGTAGAACATTTATCCAATTGTTGGCAAAAGTTTTGTAACTAAACTAAGTGCTATTGAAATTGACAACTTTCTAAACCGCCATAAAATTAAAAATCGTTACGATCAGATTATATTTTATGATATTTTAACATCAACACATATGACTTGATGCTTAAATGTAACTAATTGTACCTACAGTTTTACACAATAAAATGGTATTACATTACTGTATACCTACAATAATTATGATAGTTAGGATAGATGAGATCATAATTTTATTTCTGATTTTCTTAGTTTACTTTGGTAATAATTTGTTTTTTATTTCTGAATAGAACAAAAAAAGGAAGCAATATGCAGTATTAAAATCTAGATTAACGATCTTGATTTACGATAGTTCGGAATTTAAATAAACAATTCCAATTTATTCTTTTCTATATTAATGAAAGTGACATCTAAAGTCATGAGTATTTTACTTACAAAATAATTTTTATGTATTTGTTAACTACAATAATATATTTGACGAAGAAAAAGGAATATACATATCATCTTAAATTATTGACTTATAATTATTAATGAATATCACATACATTGTTTAAATTCAAAATTAAGTAGCTAAAGCATATTATGATCCAACGAAATAACGAAAATAACATAACATCTAGACCCGAAACGAATACCTACCTATAGAAAAGTTTAAATCCTTTATGGACCAGATCGGGAATCAAACATAGCATCAAGACCAGAGGCAATATAGAAAAGTCTTATTTTCTATATTGGCCAGACCTGGAATCAAACATAAGAGCATGACCAAAGACAATATAGAAAGTCTATATTATCTAAACCGGGAGTTACACTCAAGACCTCAGAGATGACGACACCTTGAAATCAGCATGAGTGCCACCCGGCCACCTTTTAAAAAAAAGTCTTAAAAATCTTCGGTATTTCCGTTGACGCCTTGTGCAAATTGCGTAACTGCATTACAACTCAACCATTTTTGACGAACTCTGTCTGACAAGAACCACTTATTTGCTCTTTTCTGTTGAACTTGAAATTTCGGGGTCATTGCAGTGCAATTTGCGGTCCGAAATGTTTTTACCACTTTTTTAATAATTCTTAAGTATGTAATTTTAACATTTATCGTTCTAGATAGTGACGACCACGTGACGACACTATCCAGAACGATAAATCTTAAAGTTATGAAAATGGCTGGCCGCTTCAAGAATTGGTCAATTGTACGATCTGGCCACGATATATATACTTACTTGTAAACCTATAACAAATGAATATCATCAACTTGAAAATCTTGCAAGGTCTTAGCAATACTTATCCTCAATAAATTAATAACTGATGAATCGAAAAACACAAATAATGTCAATTTCTTCAATATAAACTTGGAGCAACATTTTAATGTATTTGATTTAAAGCCTGCGCAAAGTTCTTTGATCAAAATAATAGCACGATTTAGAATATACTCGCCATCATCTGGTTGAAAAGTTATTCTAGGTAAATTTTCTAGGCAAAAAATTCTGCGATTTAGAATTCATTTTACGCCATCTAGTATAAATCATATATATATTTAATATAAAATTATTTTTGCTTTCGTAAACAAAATTACTCGAATGGACATTTTTATTCATTAAAATTTCAAAAATGTACGAGTAATATTTACTCAAACACTAATTTTCATCGCTATACAATAAAACATTATATAAATAATATTAGGTAAATTTATTACAATGTCAAATCAGATTGTTAACTTTGTAATGGTTGCTATGGTAATATTTCAATTCCCCATAAAATGTTTCATTCCCATTTTTATCCCTTTAAGTGCTAGTTTTTGGGATAAAATATAACCTTGTAGGTACGTTATAAACTACCCAAATATCAATTATCATCGACATAGGTCCATAAACAAAGAAGTTCCATACAATTTTTTTCACCCTTTTTGACCCCCTTCGGGATGTCATTTCCAAAAATCCGTTCTTAGTACACCTTTACGTATTAAGGGGAATGTTCCATCCAAATTTCAAGTTTCTACGACTAGCGGCTTAGGCTGCGCGTTGTCTGTCAGTCATTAAGGCAGGAGAATTGAAACGTTTCAATGAAACTTTTTTAAAGTTATGAAAGTATTTGAGTAGTTTAAGGCCCTGAAAACATAATGTTATATTTTATATCGAAAATAAGTGGTGGACTTATAGGGATAAAAACGGGAATGGAAGTTTTTTATGGAGAATTGAAATATTACCTACCATAGCAACCACGGCTTATTTGCTTAATTTGTCACTGTGAAAATGTATCTAATATTATTTACAAGTATCAAATTACATAGCTGTGAAAATTGGTGTATATGTAATTTAAAACAAAACAAAATATTTTTAATTTGTTTTTCTTGAAAATGATCAAATGGAAGTAATTTCGTTTACGAAAGAAATGTTTTTATATATTTTGAACTGTACTAGCCATCTAGTTCCAGTCGTTAAGTATTCTACATCGCACTGTTTTGCTCAATATTGAGTTTTAAAATAAAATGAAGCTAGTAAGCTTTGCTATACAAGATGGCGTTCTTTCTGAAGTTATCTGCGTTAACGTTTCTTTCAAAGAATTTAGCATAGATTACGTTTTCTATTAAGTTTTGTGTAAACTTCAGAACTGTTTTTTCCATTTGTATTTCAAATTAGAATGGTTTGGATTAATATCTCTAAAGTTTTCAAAGATAAAGTGCTAAAACATATTGAATATTTGTTACTTTTTTTTGTTGTAGTTCTTCGAACTTAAACATTAAGGAAATTTCATCATCAGCTCAAAAAACAACAACGTTTTTGGAAAATATATGCTGCGTGAAAATTGAATAAAAGATTAGCTAGTAAGAGATAAATAGAAAAAAGATTAGATTTAGCACGAGTATTAGCATACAAATAAATATTTATTCACTGTCTTGCCCAAAAAGATAATTATGGAACACTAAAGCTGGCTTAAAATAGAATTTCTCACTCTCGTTGAAAAGTTTTCTGGACATTTTGGGTAACTGTTTATTATAACATCTGAAAATTACTTATATCATAACAAAAATAGTTGCTAACTTCAACTATTATCTATCTACTACCTACTACAATCCCATGGCAAGATTGCTCAATAACTGCTATTGTGTTTTGTCGTCAAGCTCTGACACAAGCAATATGTAATGCGTATTTATAAACGTGTGTGTTAATCTTGATACCGATCATACGTCGCGTTGATCTGCACCAGTGACCCCTACGCGTGATTGCTCCGACCTTCACCTCGAGAAATGTATGTGACACTTGTACGTAGCGCCCCAGGCGATCTTACTGTCCCCGGTTGGTATCTTGCATACATAGAATTTCGAATAAAAGCTGCTGCTGTTCCTACTTATCCATAGTCGAATCGAGACATTCTAATTAGCAACAATGGCAGCTAAAGTGAGTGTTAAATAATTGTATTGTAAAATAAAATTAATTTCACAAATTCAGCTTTGTGAAGAAAATTGTAATAAAAAAAATTGGCATAATCAGATTTTTAAAAAAATTATGATTTTGAGTATTAATATCATTCTAAAACTAATCAAATTCCTGTGTTTCAATTAACATTTTCTTTTATATTCTCCAGTTCTTTGTGGTCCTCTCCCTGGCCGTAGCGGCCTCCGCCGTCCCTTTGGTTCCAGTGGCTAAAGTAGCGTATGAGGAAGTAGACGCACCTGCCCACTATGAGTTCCAGTACTCAGTGCACGATGGACATAGCGGTGACATCAAGGAACAGAAGGAGACTCGTGATGGATATGCCGTCCAGGGATCCTACTCTCTTGTACAACCCGACGGTGTGCACCGTATTGTCGACTACACCGCTGACAAGGAGCACGGATTCAACGCTGTTGTGCGTTATGAGGGACATCCTGCTCCCGCTCCTGCCAAGCTCGCCTACGCTGCACCTGTGGCCTACGCCGCCCCAGTAGCGAAGGTGGCCTATGCCGCTCCCGTCGCTAAGGTGGCCTACGCCGCTCCCGTCGCTAAGGTGACATATGCTGCTCCCGTCGCTAAAGTCGCATACGCCGCCCCCGTCGCCAAGGTCGCGTACTCTGCCCCAGTCGCCCAGATTGCATACGCCGCCCCAGTCGCCAAAGTCGCCTATGCCGCTCCCGTAGCGAAGGTAGCCTATGCTGCCCCGGTTGCAAAGGTCGCATACAGCGAATCTCTAGGACACGTCAGCTTCGCGTCCCCTGCTGTCTCTTACCACCACTAAATATATAGTCGATAATAACTTATTTCTCTAGATATGTAATTAATTGTTAATAATAAACATTATTGATGAGAAAAGGTAACGAATTTTTTATCCAAATACCCAATAATTAGTTTTATCCTCATAAGAAAAAACATTCAATAGTTTTATGTTTTATGTTAATCAATTAATCAATAATTTATTTCATAAAATACGGTCATCAACTAAGGATACCATATACTTACAGTATGCCATACATACTATATAATAGTTTGGTATATAAGATACAATTATTTTAAATTTATTATAAGTAATTTACGTTGTTAGCTATTCATGCATTAATATTATTATTATTTTATGAGTTCACCATTGATTTAAAGATTTAATACAGTTCTTATTACATATGACTTCAGTCTAGTAATGAAAAATATAAAATTATTTTTATTTCAAAAATAATATTAATTCACATGTTATAAGAATAATAATTCAAGTAATCTTATTATATAAATGTATGTCAATTACAAGACACTGTTCTTTGGCGGTAAAATATTATTAAGAAGTCTGCTCGGTGGCGTGGCGTAACTACAGGGTGGCAACTTGCCACTGGCAAGTAGGCAAAATGCCACGGGCCCCCAGTTGGAAGAGGCCCCCGGTCACCCTTACATACTTAGTATAAAAAATCATAGAATTTGCCACCTATCTGCTGTGTGTAGTCTAGTTTTTACAGCCCATAGCATAATGTACACTAGTTAATTTCTTACAATTTACTTGCAACAATTATTAAATACAGAATAAATTGTTTTGTATGTTTCACGAAGTCTTCGTCAATACTGGACAGATTCTGATGTTTTTTTTTAAAGAGTATATTCTCGAAGTAGGCATATCAAAATTTTATCGAAATCGGATCAGTAGTTTTGTTTTTACGTTTATAAAAAAACTATATATAAAAGAACTACTTCATTTAAGTTAACTTGACGATACAAATGCTTAAATATTTCTTTAAATTAAAACCGACTTCAAAAACATCGAAGAATAATTCTTAAGAACAATAAAGGCGGTTAAATAATTCAGTACACTTCATTTAAAATTCAGCAGTTAAAATAATGGTCACAAAATCCTTGCTCTAATCCAAATGAAGTTTAATACATTTGCTAATCGCTGATTTTTAAGGTGGTATTTTCTGCGAGTTTTGATCAATCTCCATTATTCCTTGATTAATATGAAACGAATCTGTGATGAATGAAGAAAAGATAATATGTTAAGTACATATTATCTTATGATTTTTAGTAAATGAATTATTCTCCATACAAATGTATTCCTCTTCTTTATTTTCACTCCTTAAAAGAACGGTTCTGGAATAAATCCTATCATAGGTTTCAAATGACGGAACAGAAGGAGTTAATTTTACGTTTATGATATTAGTAAGAATTGTTAAGGAAGAATAAGCTCCACTTCTCTGATAAAATAGGCATAGTTACAGAAAAACTGCCAGTCATGTTAAAACAACGCAAAGTTAATTTAGACAGTATTTCCAAAGGGTGTTAGCGACGAACTCATTTTAGGGTGCCTTAATAAATTAATTATAAATACATATGAAGGTAATTTTGGTTGAACGCCCGTTGAGGGTACGACGGTGTCATTGGTCAGTCTGCACGTTAATATATTGTAACTTTGGTCTGCACGCATCCACGCTAAGTGACAGGCATATTTTTGTAACGCTCCTTATATCAATAAATTAAGTTGTGTACATCTACGTAATTATATTAACCAGATATCCAACGCCTACAGTGGTTTTTCTGGATGCCCCCATAAAATTATCTTTTAAATTCTTAACCGATAGTCTATTATAATTTCACATAGGTTACTTAAAGGCATAATAAACCCATTTTTAATTTTTAGCAATAACATTATTTGTAAAGAGTATTTATGCATATATAATTTGTACAAATACATGTATTAAATATAAAAGAAAAATTTTAAAAATCCTCACTCCTCACTGATTTATACTTTTATTTAAGAGTGATTTTAGCACTCTTAAATAAAAGTATAAATCAGTCAGTCACCCCTCAATTTCCACCTGCGGGTTAAAAAAACGCTTACAAAACATTGTTGTAAAAATTTGTCCATCCAATTTAATGAAAAGAATTTCATATTATTAAATTTTTTGACTATATTCATATTGATTTCAATAAGAATCAACTAAAATATCCTTAATGAAAAATGCTTTAAAAATTCCCTTGGTCCCTGGCACCCTGTGATGGGATTTTTAAGCATTTTTCATCAACTAGTTAAAAAACCTCAACAGACAGACAATATAGTAGTTAAATACATATTTACGAAGTATTTTTATGTTTGTGGCTAAATATTATAACTTTTTTATATATCTCTAACTGTTTTGGCTGCGTACACAAAAATATGCTCTTTTAAGGAAATATGCTTCGAAGATAGTTGTAAATGTTTTTAGGGGAGCCATATTTAAAGTGAAATAAGCAGTGGATTTCATTCAGTAAGGAATTTCGATTTCTTCCGCCATCTAATGCACTTAAAATAATTGAACGAATGCAAAAACATTAAAAAAATAAAGACAAACAATTAAAGTATCAATAATAATTTATTAATCAACATTTCAATAAATAATAGTGCGTAAATAACAAGTTATTTAGTGGTGGTAGGAAACAGCGGGGGAGGCGAAGGTGACGTGTCCAAGAGATTCGCTGTAGGCAACCTTGGCAACGGGGGCGGAGTAGGCCACCTTTGCTACGGGAGCAGCGTATGCGACGGGAGCGGAGTAAGCAACCTTGGCGACGGGGGCGGCGTATGCGACCTTGGCGACGGGGGCGGCGTATGCGACTTTAGCGACGGGAGCAGCATATGTGACCTTAGCGACAGGGGCAGCATAGGCCACCTTTGCTACTGGGGCGGCGTAGGCCACGGGTGCAGCGTATGCGAGCTTGGCAGGAGCGGGAGCGGGGTGTCCCTCGTAACGGACGATGGCGTTGAATCCATGCTCCTTGTCGGCGGTGTAGTCAACGATGCGGTGCACGCCATCAGGTTGCAGAAGGGAGTAAGAGCCCTGAACGGCATCACCAGCACGCGCTTCTTTCTGTTCCTTGATATCGCCAGTGTGTTGGTCGTGCACAGAGTACTGGAACTCGTAGTGCGCAGGTGCTTCCACTTCTGCGTATGCTACTTTAGCCACTGGCACAAGAGGGACAGCAGAAGCTGCCACAGCTAGGGAGAGAACTACGAAGAACTGAAACAAAAATTAGATACAATTATAAATATTTTTCTCAAGAGCAAGTCAGTCTTAGTTAAAAACTTGAGTGAAATCTTACTTTAGCTGCCATTGTAAGATTTGCAAGTATATTCTGTGTGCTTGTTAAAAGTCGAATGTGACAATAATTCAACAACGACACATTTTTATACTTTTGCCTACGGGTGCTTATTGTTGGAGTACAAGTTATTGGTGGCTGTTGACCGCACTCTAATTTAATCTTACAAATGATTGAGAGGTCATGGTCGTTCAGGTATACAACCTGCTTTTGTAAAACTATGATAAGTACCTACATATCGTATTAAGTCATCTCGAAATTGACATTTTTATCTAAGTTGGTCCGGTTATTAGTTAAACGTTTATTAATTATCGTAAGTACCTTTTGCATGATATTTTCTTAGAAGAATAACTCAAAGCTTACTGTTGTTCATAAAATTAAAATAATGAATCTTCAATTATTGTAACTTACAATAGGTTACTTTATAAGGTAAGGTAAACTGCAGACAATTTTAAGGCCATTTTGAGACACATGCCTTGTCCCACTAGACTGAAAGTCATTAACTCAAACTCCGGTTTTGTAGAGCCGACTATTGGAAATTGACCTTAAGGTAAGCGGTATCGTAATTGAAATTAAGAATATCTGTTGTAATAAAACTACGATGTTCTTATATTTCACCAATTTTGCGTTCATAATATTGATATTTATCTAAATCTTTAACGATATTGTTAATTCTCTCTTATGCGAGACCACCCTAGAAGAAATGCACAGCAATTCTTTATAATATAAAAGTGAATCGCCGAAATGTATATACGCGCATTACTTCCGGATAATTGAACCAAAATTGCTGCTTTTTATGCGTTCCTTATTGTCAGGACAAGTTTTGCACATAAGAAAATTTATAAAAATATCCCTCAATCGCGACTGGAGTAATAAAATATGACTGTACGAAGTTCGCCGGGTCAGTTAGTTTATTGATAAAATTAACCACATCTGTCTTTAATTTGGCGCTTACATAAAAATATTTTCCCCATGGGTAGACATATAGTGTCACAGAAAGTTAATTTCCTCCAATGACCCGACTGGGAATCGAACACAAGAATTCTGATTGAAACCGAAATGCGAACCATTCAACCGTGGAGGTTGTCAAAAAATCATCAAAATAATAATTTAATATTTTAATTGCGCCTGAGGTGAACTCAAGTTTAATAATATGATGTGTACTTATAAATATTTTTTTTATCTAATTTACATTTTACGGATTCTTTGTAGTTTTATATGGTCACTTTAAATTTACACGCCAAAAAAATCAATTTAAAATTGGTGTAGTATAACAAATAGATAACGTCTAAATAAGCTATAATAAAAAATGATTTTACGTCATACATTTCAGAGTTTTGTCGCAGTTGAAATGTGAACTTAAAAAATATTCTGTATAGAAAAAAAACACAGTTAGATACCCTTAAAATTTACCATTTTTCATAATTATACTCTTTTTTTACCAAACCCCTTATAACTGTGGACTTTACTTTACCATTTTTACATTAATTGAATTCAATTTAATCTAAGGCAAGACTGAACAGGGGACGGAACGAGCTTGCCCAGAAGGAGCCAGCTCGTCCCACCGTTGATCTCATTTGCTCTTAGGCTAGCTTGAGGTCAAGAGTGAGCCCATTATAAATTTTAAAAATTCGAAATGGCTTGAGAGTAAAGTAAAAGTTAACAATAGTTATACACCATCCTCTGTACCTATCTATTTATCTCATGGACGGACTCTTCTTTGTCTCGTTCTCCTAGATGCTAATGCTGACGAGATCCGTCTTATAGAGTCATTTATTTCCTCCTATTAAAAGTTATTCAATTTAAATACATCTTTCATCTGACACCCTCGTTATTTTGCATTCCTATTAGTTAACGGGTAAATAAATTCACACAGAGATAAGTAGCATAAATTACCAATTTTTCGAAGTCGTAAAATATTAGCTTAAAATAAAATTATATTTTCGACATACCAGCGTTATGGACTTTACTTACAATATTATTTTTTTATAAATATAAATGATTCTTCAATTCACATATGTTTAGGTATAAATTAGATGAGGATAATCTGTAAAGATAATTAGTATTAATTACAGAAATTAAAATAACATTATTAAGTACCTTATTCTATAGTTGAAAATTTGCTAGTTGTTATAGTTTATTTTCTACTTACTGACAACCTTCGTTAATTTGATTGAGATCGTGCCTATTACGAATTATAAAGAATAAGGTGAACAACTTCGGCAAACCACGTTGCCAACTTACACCTGAGGCTAAAGTTTTTGTAAGTATATAATGTATGTGCAGTCACGCTTTGTCACCATTCAACGTTGACAAGTAAACTACTCACTTGTACAATGGCAGCTAAAGTAAGTTAATTACTATAGTACCTATATTATCAATTTTAATTCATACTTACTCAAAAAAATGTTGTGAACTTCAAAAGCTTCTTAGCTTAAAAGTCGACTAAATGACTATTTACATCAACTAGACCACATATAATATCAGACTCATTTTATCAGCAATATTTTCTAGACAGATATTTTCGCGTATGAATTCCGGGATAGAAAAATAATGAAAAGTTTTCATATAGAAACATTGGAAAATTATTTTAGATAAAAACAGAAAAGCTAAACGATACATACAAAATGTGTGATACAGTATCGATTGTAAAACTGGTAGGTATATATTTTTTAACTAATTTGTCATTCTGCTCTTCATTTATAACATACATAAGTATACATATTATGTATAGACAAGTTTTCATCAATGTATTTCTATGGTAACTTTTTATCTTTCATAAAAAATGTGTGTTTTTGTTTTGAAACGATAATTGCAGTAATTCCGTTGCCCAAAATAGTCTTTTATTTCTGTCCAATTATGGTTTAAATTATGTAAGTAAATATCACATATGACTACGCAATAACGTCAGAACAAACCCAAAATTAGATTTTCTTAGATTGTTTTAGACAAAGATACGACAGAATTAATGCCAATGTTTTCTTAACAGACGATCTTTGGTGTTGCTAAAGGTAATAGCGGGCTGTAAAGACTTTTTCTCATCGATAAATCAAGTCCAGTTTTACCCATTTCCATACATATTCATCATACTCACACTGGATATTAAGATAAAATCACTTGTAATAAAATAAACTATGTTTTTTTTCAGTTGTTCGTAGTTCTCTCTCTAGCCGTGGCGGCTTCCGCTATTCCTCTGGTTCCAGTGGCTAAAGTAGCCTACGAAGAAGTAGACGCACCTGCCCACTACGAGTTCCAGTACTCAGTACACGATGGACACAGCGGTGACATCAAGGAACAGAAGGAGACTCGTGATGGATATGCCGTCCAGGGATCCTACTCTCTAGTCCAACCCGACGGTGTGCACCGTATTGTCGACTACACCGCCGACAAAGAGCACGGATTCAACGCTGTCGTGCGTTATGAGGGACATCCTACTGCCGCTCCCGCCAAACTCGCCTACGCCGCTCCTGTGGCATATGCCGCCCCAGTAGCCAAAGTGGCCTATGCTGCCCCCGTAGCCAAAGTGGCCTACGCTGCACCAGTAGCTAAAGTGGCCTACGCTGCACCAGTAGCTAAGGTGGCCTACGCTGCACCAGTAGCTTATACCGCCCCCGTCGCCAAGGTTGCCTATGCCGCCCCCGTCGCTAAGGTCGCCTACAGCGCACCCCTCGCACACGTCAGCTACGCCTCTCCAGCGGTCTCCTACCACCATTAAAATTCGAATTTTTACTATAAGGAACATGTGAATCGAGTTAAATTTAAGTCTATCTTCAGTCGATGTGTAATGGACATTATTAATTAGTAGATATCTTTATTTAAAATATTATTTATTGTACAAAATAAATACAACTATTTAAATAATTGACAAATGTTTTATTGTAATGCCTCTGTCTTAACGGCAAGAAATTATCATGCACTTTTATAAATAGAATTAAATTTTATTCAAAAGCAAAACACAAACGCTCACCACACTTCCACGTTCATCGTCATATTTCAACTAAAGCAATCCATAAACAAAACATTAATAAATTAAACAACTACAATGAAGCCTTACTCATAAATTACTCCGTTAATTGGTGAAACTGCATGATAATTTCATTTTTTTTTTAATTTATCCAGTTGATAGTACACATAAAATCAGACACGGCGAAGAGACTAGAAAATTTTACACTATTATTAGTTTCACATCTATCAGAAAACGTAACAACTATATACCCTGAGCGAAAACGTGGACGTCGACGATATTTAGGAGGGGGGGGGGAGGGTCTGGTGGTGGACCGCACCTGAATTATTCATCCAGCCGCATAGTGATTTCACCTCATTGAATGGAGCCGTCGGCGGCGCGACCGTGATTACGATACCGATACCTCCGATATCGAACGTACGCGTGCGGACGCAATAATACGCTTGTCAACTGCGACCTATATAATTGTGGGAGATACAAGGTGCATGTTTAGCTAAATTACTCACCTGCTGTAACAGGTTCGTTGCTTAAGCAAATGAATAAAAGGCTGACTCAGCTTGAGAACTTGATTTAATAGAGGGTAAACAAAAAAAAAACTAAAAACAAACAAAAAGGAATATAAAAACAGTTCGTATTGTTACCTAAATAATAATATTAAAATAGTTAAATATACCAATTACATACTCCTTTTCTTCGGGTTTGATGAGTAATTTAACTTTATTATATTTGATTTGATATGGTATACATTTTTATTGAGTTCAAACTCTTGATTGACAAAAAAATTGATTTTAAGACTTTTTACAACAAATTGCTATTGATTGAAATTAAGTGTGTATAATGTTTCTAACTCAACGAATTTTCACAAACAGATATTCATTAAATGCATATTGGATTACTCAAAATTTAAAATTACGAAAAGTAAATAATAAATATAGATGATGTTACACTACGCTACGTTACATTTGTTGGTATGCGCACCTTAAGTAGGCACTATAAAAAACAACCAAGTACCTACACTTAGATTTATTATTGTCTGTAAATGCACAACTTCATTTTTGTCCTCTTCATTACTAAAGGTCGCGTCCTGATGAGTGTTTCAAGACTTTTATAACATTCCTCCACTCCTCTCGATGTTCCGCTTTTCATGTGGCAATTGTTACAGTGATACCAGTTACTGCACACCGGTCCTGGTCACATCAACAGCTCGGTGAACGACAACGGGATATTTTTTTCTCTACTTTGCCTAACACAACCAAGTATCCGCAATGTAAGCAAAATTCCAGAGAATTCTTTGTAAGCATATCATTGAAAATAATTGGTCAGAAATTTGCGGATAAATCTGTAAACGTAAAATACAAGCCATCGAACACATAACATCCTCATTTTCGATTTTGAAGGCGGGTTAAAAGGCAAACATGACTGACTACATAGGTATATATCATTGCACAGCCGAAACTACTGTAACTAGAAACATGATATTTGGTACAGGGCTTTCTTTTATGATGTAAGAGAACACAAGAAATAATTTTAAGAAATTCAAACCCTAAAATGAAATAGGTGGGTGAAATTTACATGTAATTTTCATATACAGGACTACGCGACCGAAGCCGCTGGTGTATAGCTAGTTATGTCATAAATAAGGCGATTTTTAGTTAAAACTTTATAAAATGTATTTGGGGATGTGCGTATAGCAGGACAGGTTTATTCCCCCTGCCCCCATAGAGCACGGCAGGTAAAAATGAAGAGATTGCTTTTTATCTGTGCAGGCGGTAAATTGAATGTAAAGTTGATTTCCCGGCGGGCCGCGCCGCATAATTCCACGCAAATTAAGCCGATGCCGATTCACTAGCTACCAATGTAAATATTTTTTATAAATACCTCGTTTTATGTACCGTGGCGGATCGATCTCTGACATTTACTGGTTTTTCGTAACACAAGTATCTCAGTAGATATCAATTGAATGTGCTTTCTCTTGATTATTTGATTTTAGGAAAATATACTTACATACATCTGAGACAATATTCCTACCTATTATAAAAATATTTTTTAAGTGATGGTCCTAGATTTAGCTAGACATTCCATGTGTATAATATTAATCTACGTAATATTATAAATGCGAGTTTGTGAATATGTGTGTTACTCTAACGCTAAAACTACTGAATAGATTTAAATGAAATTTGGTATAGGAACAGATAATTTTTCTTGTAGCGTATCTTAGATCATATGAAAAGGCGCGGCGGAGACGTAATTTTTTTATGTGTTCTGTAAACCATTCTCAGGTTGTTTAGTTGGCGCTTTGTAAGTAATGAGGATTAATAAAAAATAAAGCAACATTGACAATGACTATTTATTACTTTTTAACAGTACTTTTGGGTGGAATTGGACATTCATACATAATTAGGCTTTTGTCTTTAGCAACTGATAGAAGCCTGTTGCCTTTCGCATTAAAATGCACTCCCCATACCTGTAATTGAAAGAATTATATTATTTGATGTGACTTAAGCATCGGTCCCGGATATCAACTGGGTATTCCCGGTTTTATTTACCGTGTTCTTTGATGTAGTAAGTTACTTGAGCATTGGTATCGGATTATAACCAGGTGTTATGAACATTTTTATTTATTTATTTATTTAACACTTTATTGCACAAAAAGAGTAAAAATAAATATATTGCAAGAAATAAAAAATAAATTAATTGCAGTTGTGCAGTGGGCGGCCTTATCGCTTAACAGCGATTTCTTCCAGGCAATTATTTTTTATTGTAGGGAAAATGCTTTAAACCTAATGTTGTTGGACTCCTCTTTGTGGGTCCATCCAGAGAGTATTCGCTTAATAAACCCACAGAGGCCTACCTGGGATGAGACCCAGGAAGCAGTAGCAGAGTTACTAGGTTACCCGGTTTTGTCAACCTAAAACACCCAGTTGTGTTTTTGATTGATGTATATCTTTCTCTTTCCAAGATCCGATTGATTATTATCTCATTTAAAAAACAAGAGTATTTCTTAAAACTTGTCGGAATTGATACAGTAGTTCGCAAGTTACGACTAAACAACATATGCTGTCTTCCCGCATAAATTAAAGCTTATGTCACCCGCATATGAAGTAGCTTGCCGTAAATGAAACCTAAGATTACCCCCTACAAACAAAGTTAGAAGCTTTATCCCTCTTTAAATTAGTGCCTATACATTCATTTTTATTATATAGAAATATAGTTTTTCACTAAGTAACCGTGTGTACGATACTTACGGTATCAACATGTTCTCGAAAAGTGTTAAGAACCTTCAAGCCATCTAGCGATACGATTCGGACGCTACCGTCGCTAGTAGAAGTGGCGACACGGCTGCCATCTGGTGAGAATACGGCACATACCGCCCACGATTTGTGCTCTACTGCGCCACATGGGTTTGCACTAGCTCTAAAATGAAAAAAGTAAGAAAGTGTTATATTTGAAAATAAAATACAATAACAACATATATAATAATAACAAAAAATAAGCATATAAATATTTTTTTCGCATCATAAACTCGCAAGATTGTTTGAGATATTTACGAGAGAATATAATTTTTTAAATAAAGATATTAACTAAATATTTGAGTCAATCAGATAAAAATCCAAGACTAGTAGCTTCAAACGGGTAATGAAAGTGAAAATTTGCACTTACAATAATTATCCGAAAACTGTAATTAAATGTACTGAAGTAGCACCCAACGTGGGACCTAAAATGGCTTTTCACATTTCTGTCAAAAAATAATAAAAAAGGAAGACCATGTTGAGTAAAAAGAAAATGTTTCACTCACACGTCATATATTTTTACTGTGCCGTCATCGGATGCTGTAAGAAGGAACTTGGAGTCTGGCGAAAATGCAATACTTCTGACTGTCTGCCTGTGGGCTTCGATTGTATGTAAAAGTTTGCCTTGAACCACATCGAATATGCACACTACACCGTCTACAGCCCCAGTAGATATGTATCTTCCATCTTTACTCTAATGTAAAATAAACAAATATAAGACATACATCTCTCAGATTTCAAAAGAAGTAGCTATAACCAAGGTACCACAACAACAAGATCCGAGACAATATAGTCAATTTTCTCCGTTGAGCGGAACGGGAATCGATCGCGAGACCTTTAGATTTTTATGATCTTAAAAAATTACTTTTAACATGGAGTCGTCGGCCTATTCTTAATTTTTCTTGCTTAAATGGGAGAGGCAGTCTAAAGCTTGCAAAAGTTATCTTACTAGTAACAATGGATAACTGCAATCTAATTTGAGACTTACTACAAAAACCACACAGCACAGAAAAAAAAAGTTGTGGAAAGAGCATACCGGTTGTTTTGTATGAAAACCGCTCTAACGAAATTCATACAGTGCAAGTATCTTTCACGAATTCACACATAAATTATTTCGTGCTGCCGTGCCGCCAAAATTAATTCAAAAAGGCGAAACGTGCATTACAATTTAATAAAAATATAGTTGATTGAAGCAATCAAAGTAAAATAAATAAATATATATTTATTAAATCGATAAAAAATTTACACTATAAAAGGAAATAAATTAGTCATGATAAAAAAAGCAAAAAATTGTTCTAGCCGTCGCTTAGGCTCTTACTTTAAATTAATCCCAAAGGACTTAAATAAATTGTGCTGCATTTTTTATAGGTGTTGTGTTTTGTTAGCAAACCTAATCTATACTAATTATTAAGATTTGATTGCTTGCATTGAATAGGGTTTGACAATACTGGATCAATTTAAAAAAAAAACCTATGGGAAGGTACAGCGTGTGCAAACGACATGGGCTATAATTTATGTAAGTGGCAGTAATATAGTTAATATCAATGGACGCACATGCATAGCGTCATTATAGATTATGTATTAATACCACATCCTAATTGAGATAGTCTTTGTGTCGGAAACTTAGAGAAAATTTATTTAATAGTTTGGAATTAAATCTTATGTCATTAAGATATATTATGATTTTTTTTAAATAATATTATTGCATAATAATGCATGTTTCAATTTTTTTTATAAAAATACCCCTAGTATAGGACGACGACTGATACAACTGAACATAGTATTCCCAGCAATATTTAATATGTATTATGATTTCAGGATATTCTATATTTTATAGTCATTTGAAAATATAATAACAAAAAAATTACTATAACCATACTTAATATAACAATAAATAATATAACTCTGTTGTAGCTCTCTCAATATTTATTAATTATATACTCACCCAATCAACACACAATACGAATTTTCCCCTGGTGTCTAAAATTTGGTTGGTTTTACCATTTCTAATGTCATAAACGACAACTTTGCCAGTGTGGCTACCAGTAGCAACCTGACTGCCATCTGGAGAAAATGTAACCTTCCACACATCGGTTACAGATGTTTCCACCTCATGAACTTTGTTTCCCGACAGTAGGTCCCATACTATGAGTGTAGAATCTAAAGAAGTGCTGGCTATACCTGATATAAAACAAAAGAAAAAGAATTTTATTAATGTAAGCACAGCAGAAAGTTACACTATTAAAATGTGTATAATATTTGCAGTTCAATTTGAATTTTATTCTCCATATATGAAGGTTTGATATCATTAGTTTAGTTTTTGCAATTTTTAGTTATTTACATATTTTCAAACAACAAAATTAACCTTTATTTTGAAATTTGTATCCTTAATATTGCCCAAAATTGTTGCTTATCTCAATTAGCCTTTCAACCCTCAAGATAGTGAAAATTTTATTGTCTTATATAACTGAATGCTCCGTTGATTAAAGTTTTTCCATGAACTAGATATGAACAAAATTTATGAAAATTATCCAAACTTGCAAAACAAATGTCTAACATTACTTACAAATAATCTAATTAGCATATTGGCTATAAGACATATTCTACATGATATATCTTACTATGTCCATCGGGGCTAACAGCAATCGACACAACTGCCATACAATGTCCAACTAGTGTGTGAACTAATTCCAATTTGTTATTTTCGAACATCCACACTTTAACCAGACCATCTAACGCCCCAGTCAGTATAAACTCTTTGGAAGGCCCCCTATTAAACAAAAAGAAGGTAGATTTCAAACTTTAAAAAATTAATTTCATAGTATATGTAGCTTTTTATGTAATCTTACTTTGGATCATTAGTTATACATGTCCTTGTCCAGGCACAGCAATAAATGGGCTCATCGTGAGCATTCTCTTTCTTAAATAGTATAGATGAATTCTGAATAAAATAAAACGCTCGTGATAAAAGTGAACTTAGTAGTATTTATTGATATCGAATCTATATGATAATTGATGTATAATTTAAAACTTACAATAGCAAAAGCCGGCATGGTATGAAATCAAAGCTATTCGTCCAAAATAATCACCTCCAAAAACCCGAAAAGCACAACGGTTTCACCCTAAACCTAAACACACTTATATTTATATATTATATTTTGATGTGCTGGTTGGTTTATGCCTGTGGTTTATGCCACAATTTCTTCTTCTTTCAAATTAATATCCACAACTACAAAACCCCAACATTAACGAGGAAGTATATAAAAAAATAAAAAATTAAATTAGTTCTTGAAATCATACTAGATGTCACTCGCGATGTTTGGATTTTGTTTATGATATTCATTCAACTTTTGTTTCTGACGTAATAAAAGTAAATTGAGTATCTAAAATTAATAAATATAATATGTTTTGTGTTTGTTATAATATCTAACTTTCAAATTTATTGTAATTTATTTTAATCGTAACTTTAAGTTGTTTTTTTACGTTTGTTTACGTGTATAGGAACGATGTTTGGTTATTGGTTGCTCCTAACTTTCATCCGAATGATTGAAATGAAGAACAAAAAGTGGAGTGCAGAATTCAGTTTGTATTTGTATGTGTCATTGTGCATCCACAAAACGAATGATATTAATATAAATATCAAAATCAATTCAGTCCAGATTGTTACATACTTAGTACTTGTGAAAGTCGAAAAGTTTGCCAATGGTTCGCAAAACTAAGGCGGGAGATCTTGTACTGACAAAAATCGGCAAGAAACTCAGCAAGGGCTACTTTTTTAATTTCAACAATACAACTCAACTATACTATATTCGAGGGAACGTAACGACCTAACGCACACGATACCACCGCAGAGATATTAAGAGAGCATGACTACTCTAGGTACTTAGTAAATAATATATTTCAATTAAACTGATTTCTAGAGCAGGTTCTATAGGAATTCAATCTATTATTAACAATATTATTGTAAGAACCAAAAAGCACGTATAATGACTATAAATTTCAAAATCACAAAGACACGTACAGTTCCTTTAGAACAGACGTTTCTTGTTGATTGCTGAATGTTTCTTAAGATTATTTAATTATGAATAAAAGATTTAATAACTGCCCTGCGATTCTGTAAAAATCCAGACCCGAATTCGAATTCACTCATGTGTCCGAATTCACGTCATTTAGAGTAGAAATTCTATTGATTCCATTTTTTTGTAGAAAAACACTAAACAAAACTGATTGATTATACGTGTCTCAGATATTTTAATCCTATATCATTTCGAAACTCGCTTCATTTATGTCACGAAAGGTTATTACCAATTCAAGTTTGAGCGGATGCCGTTTTTTTAAAGTGAATTCGGACACCTGAGAGTGGATTCGAATTCGGGTTTGAATTTTTACAGAATCGCAGGGCTGATCACAGTTTTTTTTAAGTCTTAATTTCGAAAGCACAAGTTATTTGCACGTTACACTTACGTACAAACGTAATTTTAGCTAGGAGTCATGTTATTTTGTACGAATACCTAGTATATTTGATATATATCGGGTAAGTATTATTCAAATACCACTTTTAACTGATTTACCATATATTTTATAAAACTGATTTTTACACATAAATTTTTCACAATATCTTTTTGTACACAATTGCCGCCCAAAATCATGTCATCATCCGTCAATGTCAACTTCAAAGGTGACAGTGACAAACCACTGACAGATAGTGCTTCCCCTAATACAATCGATAAAGACTGATGTCCATGGTATTCGATAAAGAGTATCGTAGTCTAACAGATATAGATTATAAAAAGATTTTTTATTATAATTATCGTGACTTTTGTTGCTGATTAATAAACCCTTTTCATTCATTCACCAAACATTAACATATAAAAAAAATATTGAAACTTGATGTAATTTTGTTGTTGTAAGTTCAACAAACAACTAATAAAACTAACTTATCTATACTCTATTCATTATAGCATTAGACAGAAGTTAAATAAGGTTTTTTTATGGTATAATTTTGAAAAAATATCAATAATCATGTTATTCTTAAGAATGACAGCTAATTTGCTGCATATCCACTTGAGGACAGAGGAGCACAGAGGTATTTTTTCCTCAATGGGGAAGTATTTGAAACTACAAAAATTTATCGCAATGGAGTTAGCAATGGAGTCGAATACGTCATGAAGAAATCAAGATAGTACCGTAGCGACATCAAGTTTAATTTCGTGAACTAATGTTTTTTTTTTATATTTCCTCATTTCAACTACAACTCTGCATAGGCCGGGTTTTTTGTATAAAGGAGATGAGCCAATCAGTTGCACAAACGTTGCATCAGGGTTTGTGATGTTTGTAAACTCTAATTAATGTCAAATTTGTATGCGTAATGTCGCTTTAAACTATAATGACATTTTAATGGACGTTTGTGCAACTTCTCCAAGTTCACCTGACAAATTACTCTGCTAACAATATCTTTAGGTTTAAAATTGTGGCACATCTGTTTTATTATAGTATATAGGGTGATATTTAACTTATTGGTAAGTTTACTATCTGACTCTATTTATACGGACTGTGGCGCAAAATCAATTGAAGGAATTTGACAGCTTGGTATCGTTGTCTGTATATATACATACTTATATATATGTATATATATATATATTATGGTCACCAAAGAGTAGAATTATATGGAATAGAGAACAACCTTTTAAAAATTTACTAAAGATATTGTTATATTTGCAATGTTAAATAAAAGTACGCACCTCGTAAAACAGCCGCCAGTATAAAAATAACCAATAATACCAGGTTTTCAGATAAAAAACCTTAACACAGAAGTGGTAATGCTGTACATTTTTTTTGCTCTTATGGTACATTTAAGTCAAAGGAATCGATAGACCCCATACAACCTAGTCTTATCTCGTTGCCAAAGACCTTGCATTTATTTGATCTATTTGACCGAATAAATGTCTTTTATTTGATCTTTTGTATGAATTTGATGTGTTCTTTTACTGTGGTACAGTATTTGATAGTTTGTCACTTTTGATTATACTATTAATATAATAAATGTGAAAGTTATTTGTTTGAATGTTTGTCCGTCAAACACGCCGAAAGTACTTAACGGATTTTGATGAAATATGGTATACTTTTTATCCTACTAAACATTTCCCTAGGGACCACGCGGGCGAAAGCATTGTATAATTAAACATATATGTGCGCTTATTATCTGAACAATGACTTTATTATTATTATTAATGCATCATTCACTAATATGCATACGTGTCTAGCGCGGGCTTGGTGTAATATTTCTTGTTTCACAAAAACTGTATTAAGGTCACTAAATGTCCTTTGGCTCGCTATAAGCCATAGATTTATATTTTTACTTATCATTGCGTATCATGCATACACAAAACGTGAATTATATTTCATTATTCCTAAATATCTATTTTTCTCGCATATTCACTAAATCAACGTCGTGGTATGTAATCTTACATTACTGTAACTAGAAACTCCTCTTCAAATCAAATTAAATGGTGTTATGGAAGCAAAATAAAAGGTAATTATTCAATTAAAACCTATATTTAACCAGCTATAAGGGACAGTCATAAATGTTTATACTTTTATCTTCTGATACGGACACAATTTTATTGCTTTCTGCATTAAATTTTACACCCCATACCTGCAACAATATAATGACATTACATAGAATAATTTAATAAGGTAATTAAAACATTGTAATTTTTTATGTTCATCATCAGAGTAAAAAAATAGTACCATGATTTCATCATGAATTTGAGTTTGGCCAGTGACTTATAAGCCTTGTTGAAATAATTTAATTGACACGGCCAAACTCAGTTGATTGGTACTGATTATTGCAACCTGCATTATAAGATTAAGCTCTAATTTCTAAGAACATTTATAAAAATATCAAAGACAACATTTAAAATACCTGATCAGTGTGTTCTTTAAACACATTTTGACACTGCATGCTATCCAGATCCCACACACGAACAGTACGATCTGCACTACCCGAAACAAATCTTTTGCCATCAGGAGAGAAAGCTACAGAAAGCACCCATGATGCATGTCCTGATAGTGTGCCTGCTAGGTTTGCATGTACCCTTTGATCAGATAAGTCAAAATAAGTTTACTGCATTATTACACTTTATTATATGCTATTCTCACAACAAAATACTTACACATCATAAAGTTTCATATGTCCATCATCAGATGCTGTTAAAAGCAACTGTGAGTCGGGTGAAAAACATAAACTTCGTATTGGCATTGCATGACCTTCTAAAGTATGTACAAGTTTTCCCTGTGCTACATCAAAAATATTTATGATTCCATCTAATGCTCCACTCGCTATATATTTACCATCAGGACTCTGAAATGATAAAATAAAAAAATGAAGATTATTTCCAAATTGAAAATTTGAGTAACATTTATTATATAAATAAACTTAGACACTTGGGAAAGAAAATATCTTACATAGGCTACACTCAAGGTAAACTTCCCTCTTGTGTCTAATGTTTGTTCTTGTTTACCACTCTCCACGCTGAATATCAAAATTTTTCCTGCATTGCTCCCTGAGATAACATGCTTTCCATCAGGTGAAAAGTCCAGTGTCCACACATCAGTGGTGCCAGTTTCAAATGATTTTAACTTATCTCCTGATGCAATATCCCATAATATTAAGGATGAATCTTGGGAACTACTTGCTAATGCTGAAATTCAGAAGATTTATTATATTGATCAATCATTTACTTTGTATTCTCTCATACATTTTCAATGGTGTTCCAATATTTTTCATTTTATGATATCTGATCTACATGTAAAAAAGGTGAGTGACTCATTGATTATGCGATCTATACATGGACAGCTTGCAAAACAGATTAAGCTGAAATTTGGTACACTAATAATTATTGTAACATGAAGGTTTGTTTAAAAAGGGTGTTGAATAATTCTTGATCTAAGCAGTTAAATAGGGATTTAAAAATCATGTAATTATCACAGGTGACAACAACAGACGTTAATAATATTACCAATTCAACTTACTTTTACCATCTGGACTAACTACTACTGATATTACTCCCAAAGAATGTCCTTCTAACTTGTGTTTCAATTCCAGTTTCCCATTATCTATTTGCCAGATTTTCACCAAATCATCTAAGCCTCCAGTGATAATGTAGTTTTCAGAAATCTCTTGTGGATTATCATAATCTCTAGATTAAGATAAAGATTTTCATTAATAATATAATAAATATCTACATCCATATCCATGGCGGGGTAGGGAACATTTGATAACATCACAAACACTGCTCAGATTCTAAACGAAGTAGTAGGGTTTGTGTGACAAAAGCAGGTTTGCTTAATTTTAATAGAAGGGTGTAAATTTGTTTACAGATGCGCTCTATTAAGAACGTGTTCATTGAGGAACATTTTAGAGTAGACTTATTGAAATCTAGGGTTAGACTTACTGCGACATGTCATTATTTTCTTCATTTTTTTGTTTGTCAGTTCCTATCTTGCTCCAACCACAACACCAGATTGAATCGTCGTGAGCATTTTCTTTTTTTTGTTGCAAATAATACTGTAAAGTAAAAGAAAGGTAAGGTAATGTTATTAAAATTATGGTTACCGGCAAGCTTTAAACAAACTTTATTACCAATGTTGTAATCGACATTGTGTTTAAGTGCTAAAGATTATACAAATTGTAAAATTACGTGCAATAGAACACCCTTTATTAAAATTATTTCAGCAGATTTTTAATTAACTTTTTGGTTTTGTCTTCTTTAAAATGAAATGGCTTTTTGAATTTATTTTTTTTTTTTTTTTTTTTTTTTTAATTGGCTTCGCACGACAAGTGCATTTAGCCACCAACAAAAATTTGGGAAACAAAAGGTTAATAAAGGTAAGGATACGATGTGAAAAGGAAAAGGATCAGGAAAGTATAGGAATATTTTACATAAATTTTTATTTATATATATTTCATATAATATATTAATATATCTAAATATTTATAATTTAATATTATTTAGTATTAAGAATGATACAATACATTTATATACAGTTGCTTCATTTGTTAGAAGTAGTAATGATATGTTTGTTGGAAATGGAATTTGAAGAAAAATCAAGTTATTGATGAAGTTGGTTCTTTGGAAACGTGGACAGGAAAGGAAAATGTGGTTTAAATTCCCCTCATCCTCACCGCACTCACAAAGAGGGCTAGTCAGAATACCAAGCTTGGCAAGATGGGTAGACGCACAGGTATGACCTAGTCTCATTCGAATTATTATTGATGTTTCCATTTTGCTCAGATTGATTTTCCAAAACCATGGTTTTATCGGTATACATTTCTGGATTTGTGCATACAATCTACCTCTATTCTGTTGACTGATGTCCCAAAGCGATTGCCATTCGTTATTAAGATGTAATTTAGGAAGTGTCAATAAATCTTGACTGTAATTCTCATATGGTACTGTATCTCCACAGGTTACAGCTTCTTTAGCTAAAAGGTCAGCCTTAATATTGCCATCGATCCCAGAATGGCTGGGAATCCATGCAAATTCTATATTAAAACCTTTCGTTTTACATTCGTAAATTAATTCTCGAGTAGCAAAAAGTACTGGTGAATGTAGTTTTATCTTGAAGGGAAATTTCTCTAACGCCTGAAGGGCACTTTTAGAATCAGACAATATTAAAGTGTTTTTAAGTTTCATAATTCGAACATACTCTACAGATTTTAGAAGGCCAAAACATTCTCCTGTATATACTGACGATTCTGGAGGAAGTTTAATTTTTTGTACAATTTTGAATTGTGCATGAAAGATACCAATACCAGCACATTCTGTTAATTTACCTTTAGACGCATCACAAAAGACATAATGATATTCATTAAATTGCGAATCCAAGGCGCATTTTAAATTTAGAGGAGCATTGTATTCTTTATTTACCAAATTAAAATGTATGATGGGAATAAAATTAAGACATTCATAATGGACATGAAATAATGGTAAATAGTTAGACATGTGTGTGGGAGATGTAAGAGATAAATATTTCCTGTAGCTGACTACTAGGCAAGGAAGTGATTTATGGTTCCAGTAACTGCATGTTGTTACATTCTCAGACAGAACTTGTAGTTGTAATAGAAGAGGATGGGAACAAAATTTTACGGTACGGAAAAAAAATCTATCACTAAGATATTGACGTCTTAGATGTAGTGGAGGATCACAGCATTCGACTTGAAGTGCATTGGTAGGACTGGACCTCATGGCACCAGTTATTATTCGAAGAGCCTTAAATTGAATTTTATCTAGTTTCTGAAGAGCATTTGTATTAGCTGGTTGTAATAAAAATGTGGCATAATCTAAGATACTCCTAATCAAAGCGTTATAAATAAGTTTTAATGAATATGGATGGCCACCCCACCACACGCCTCCAAGACACCTAAGCATATTAAGGGCGCGTTCGCATTTTCCTACTACATATTCACAATGAAGAACCCCACTCAGTTTCGAATCTAAAATTAAACCAAGAAACCTAACATTGTCTTTGACTGGAAGAGTAGCATCATTATATGTTACCCGAATGGACGGTGGAATACGTTTTCGAGTAAAGAGAACTACCGTACTTTTAGGAACTGAAATGTCTAATCCATTATTACTCAGCCAATTTTTTAAAAATTGCAAAGAATTATTCATGTCCAGAACAGCTTCATCAGTTGATGGGTTAACAGTATACATCAAAAGATCATCGGCGTATTGTAAAATTTTAACATTAGTGCCAAAACAGACCGAGTTTGCTAATTCATACGTATATATATTATAAAGTAAAGGACTGATAACTGATCCTTGGGGGAGTCCTTTAGAGAGAATACGTGTAAAAGTAGTATTTGATAAAAATAGTTGAATAGATCGATTTGATAAAATATTCAATATAAATCTAGAAAATAAAAATGGAACATTTAAAGCATCCAGTTTATATTTCAGAACACTTAAAAGAACGTTATCGTATGCCGCATTTATATCTAAGAAAGCAGCCAGAATAAATTGATTATTTGAAAATGCTAAACGAATATCTGAAGTAAATATAGAAAGATTATCGAGCGTGCTTCGACCTTTTCTGAAACCATATTGAGAATTAGCTAACAGTCCATTAGACTCCAAAAACCATTCTAATCGATTTTTTACGAGGTGTTCAGCTATTTTTATAAGGACAGACGACAAAGCTATTGGACGGTAAGACGCCGCTTCTGACGGATCTTTGTTGGGTTTATGGAATGGTAGCACTGTTTGACATTTCCATGAGGAAGGTATGTTTCCTGTCACTAATAATGAATTTATCAGTTCCAAATAATAAATAAGTACTTCTTCACTACAATTTAAAAGAAAAGCATACGTAATTCCATCGAAACCAGGAGAAGAATCATTAGTAGATTGAAGTATTCCTTTCAATTCAAAAATTGTGAAAGGGGAGTTAAGACCTGAAGAACTATTTTGTATAAAGTTACAAGGTGGAAAGTGAATGTATTCTGAGACCCATGGTGGGGCTAGTTTGTCAACAAATTCATTACCTAAGCTGTTTGGTAATATGGTACAAGTGGCGGGCTTATATGAGGCAGACTTAAAACGTTTAATGTTACGCCATACTAAAGAAGGGTGTGTATTTGGAGATATTGAAGTACAAAATTTTCTCCAGCTCTCAAATTTCTTTTTTTTAAACAATTTTTTTACGTCAGCAATCGTTTTTAATAATTTATCGTAATTGCTACTTGACATATCGGATCGATAATTTTTCTCATTCTGTTTCCTCTTCTTTACAGCTTCAGTGCATTCAGAGTCCCACCATGGAGGAGACATAATTTTATTTAATGGATTTTTTTTTGGAAAAGTGTCATCAGCAGCCTCAATGAGAATATTCGCGAGAGCTTCAGCACATTGTGTTACATTATTATTGTTAAGTACAGGCAAACTAGATAGTTTTGAGTGTACTGAAGTTTTGTACTCTTCCCAGATTTTGTGTTGCCTATCAGGAATCATATGTTTTATATGCGATATTCTATTAGAAGAAACTGGTTTGCTAATTTGAGGAATTGTTATTATGATCGGGTAATGATCACTACCAAAGGTGGATGGAAGTGTATTCCAAGAAAGAGATAGTCCTAGGTTAAGTGTGCTAAGTGACAAATCGACAGCACTATCACCTTGATCAGGAAGTGAACGACGTGTAATAGCACCAGTGTTTAGGACACATATATTCAATGAATCTATGATGTCAATTAATTCATCACCAAGATAATTTGTTGTTGAGCATCCCCAAGATCGATGATGACTATTGAAGTCACCGAGAACTAAAAATGGTTTTGGCAATACTAATAATATTCTTTTTATTTCTTGTAATATTCTAATAGAGGGATATGGGATATATACAGAAACTATACATATATTATTTACACTCACAGCTATTATACAAAATTCATCCCTATTATGTGAAGGCAATGGGACAGAAGAAAAAGGAACAGAGTCTTTAATCAGGATAGCTACTCCACCACCATGATTAAAGGTTGTGTCTAATCTGTCTTCGTGTACAATATTATATTTGTTGATAGAAAATAATTGATTTGGTTTCAGCCATGTTTCAGATAAACATACAATGATTGGTTCAAATTTATTTATAAGATAGATTAAATCACTTTTGTTACTATTAACACTGTGGCAATTCCATTGAATCACCTTGGCTAGATGGTCCATTTTTATTCTTTTGTAATAGAGTATTAATAAAAGCTGCGTTGGACGGTTCATTAGAATTTAGTTTTGTAAGCAAGTTTAACAGTATTTTAATGAGTTCTCTTTGTAGTACTTGGTCTGAAGGTGTGTTTTCATCTGGGTTTAAATTATTATTTAAACAGTTGCCTGAGTTTACAGGCTGAAAATTATAATCTTTAGTGAGATCTCTGTGTGATTCAATATCATACCCTTTACTCACTTTTTTGGGTGAATTTGGTGTTAAAAATATAGTTTTTTTATATGACTTTGATATGGGAACCTTACTTGAGTAGTCTTTGTTGTGGCTAGCTAGTGCTGATGATGTAGATGGCTTAACAGATGCGACGTGTGAATAAAGCTTTGTGATGGTTGGAACTGCCTTTGATGCCTCTGCATATGATGTACAGTTCTGAGCCATATATATTTTAATTTCTTTCTGTCTAATAAATTCCGGGCAAGTTTTATTTGTAGCATAGTGAGTACCTAAGCAAAGGCAGCAGCAAGCATCACATTCATCAATATTACAAGTATCAGCAGTATGGAACTCTCCACACTTATAACAACGTGGCTTTGATCTGCATTGACTTTTTGTGTGTCCAAAACGGCAACAATTGTAACACTGTATAGTTGGGAATATGTAAAGTTCAACTAATAAAGAGTTATAACACATGAAAATTCTTTTTGGTAATACCTGCCCATCAAATGTCAGGACTATTGACTGTGTGGGTTTCCATACAGGAGAACCATTTTCAATCACTTTAAAGTTGATGCGTCTAATTTTAATAATTTTACCGCAGCCAACAGGTACAGAAATATTACTTATGACTTCCTCTGGAGACCATTCAGCAGGCACACCACGAACAATGCCCATTCGAGTAACATTAAATGTTGGGATAAAAGCTTTGAAGTTCTGATTTTCTAAGTTTTTGGTAGTAAGAAAAGTATTTGCAGATAAATAATTGGAGAAAGATAAAGAGACTTTGTTTCTGCCTATTTGTTTGACACTTCCGTTAATTACATCTTTAAAACAATGGCGTTTTAGAAACTTCCCAAAAGTTATTGGATGAAGAGTAGTATTAGTGTTAGGGGCAGATTGTATTTTTTGAACATGTACTATAAAAGGTGATGCATCAGTTTCATTATATTGAGTACGTCCTACTGGCGTAAGTGCAGGTGTAGGTTGTGAGGAATCAGTAGGAGTAAATAGTACCTGAGATTTATTTTCACTAAGTAATTGTGTTTCTTTTCGTGGAGACGAAGGTTCAAAACAATTGCAACTATTTTCATTGACAACATCGGAACCGCGCGTTTTGCGTCTTTTTTTGTTACATTGTTTACATACATGGACGCGACTACGCTTACGAGTGCGTCCGGATGAAGAAGCGTCGGTCTCCATACCTGACTCGTTAGATATTGTAATAAAATGTCCTGCCGGGGGAACTATGTCCCCCGGATCAGGAGGCTCGTTCATTCTAAAAGTTAAAT